TTCATTCTGGCCCCCAAGAGATATCAGGAGTCTATAGGGGACTCTCAAACCAGGACTCATAAGGGACAAGAAAGGGTAGGTAGGGCCGCAGAGGGAGCGGGATATGGCCTGCTCTGTGCTCTGCTCTGGTGGGTGGCAGGGAAACCCTGGAGGCCCAGGTGGACCCCAAGTCTGAATATAATGCAGCCTCAGAACGTCTGTGTGGGAGTGAGGCTGAGCCAAGAGTGGCAGTAACACCATATGCAGGGTTGACTTGTCTTCCCCGGCAGGGGAACCTTTGGCCCAGTGTGCACTGACATCCCTGCTGGTGAGGGCCATGAGGAGCCTGAGCTGCAAGAAGGGCTGGGTGGATGTAAAGGACAGCAGAGAGACAGAGCAGACAGACACCTTGAAGTGACCCGAAAGCCTATCCCTTAGGGGTGGGGTTGGGCAGAGGTGACTGTTAATGTTAACGTGGGTCATTGTTATTAGCAGCTTCCATCCTCTGAGCACCTACTCAAGCCATATCTTTTTGCACGCATTCTCATGTAAACCTTTATTTTAATCTTTTGTTTATTTGGTACAGGGTCTCGCTATGTGGCTCAAACTCATAGTGATCCTCCTGTCTCAGCCTCCCCAGTGCTGAGACTACAGGCATGCACTACCATGCTGGGTTTCAATAGGCCCTGGGTTGCAAGGCTGGAGCAGCATGTGGTACCAGGGATTGAACCCAGGTCCTTGCACTTGCCAGGCAGGTGCTTAGACTGCTGAGCTATCACCCAAGCCCTCTTGTAAGCCTTAACCCCAAGGAAAAAGTTACTAGTATTATTATCCCTCATTTTACAGGGAAGAAGACCAAGGCTCAAAGAGGGCAAATTGGCTATTCCAGTTAGGAACAGCCTGGGCCCTTAGCTAATAAGTGATAAGGAACACTCTTGCCACTGGTTCCAGCTCTGGTTCTTTCCCTCCAGCACCAACTCCCTTGTCCACCTCCTCTCTCCCTCTGCCTTGGCCACATGGAAGAGGGACAGAAAGCAAGGCTGAGTCGTGTTCTCAGCGTCTTCCCTCTCCACTGTGCCCCTGATCCTCACATCCATTTCTCCTTGCAGGAAGGTGAACAAGTGCTACCGGGGCCGCTCTTGCCCCATCATCGTGCACTGCAGGTGGGTGGGGACCAAAGGTGACAGGCAGCCCAGGCCAGAGGGCCCCAGCTGGGCCTTCGCAATCCACCCCTCTGTGGTTTTGCTCCTCTCCTGTGCATACCTCCTGGGCCTGCTGCCAGACCAGCCCTTTGGCACTGGCAAATGACAGTCCCCAGCCAGATCTGGCACAGCTGCTTTTTAATGGTCCTGTGCTAAGAATGGTTAAAGAAAAACAAGGAAAATGTGTGACAGCGACTTTCTGTGACCCATAAAGTCAGAAACATTTACTATCTGGCCCTTTCTATAAAAAGTTGGCCCAACAAAAGCCTGGCCCAGGATAGAGGGCCGTTTCCTGCTGTCCTGCTACTACCACCTCAGGGCTGAGCCTGGCTGTCCTTTTCGTCATCCTGGTGCACAGGACATCACACAGGCTCTGTATGTAAGGCCCAAGCCCTGGGGCACATGTCAGGCACTTCTTCTCATTCCATACCCCCACACCTGCCCCAACCAAGCCTTACGACTGGCACTATTGTTCCTAGCCCAAACCTCCATGCATGCCCCTCTCTGCTGGGCCCTGCACCAAGCCTGTCACCAACTCCTGTTTCAGTGATGGTGCAGGAAGGACTGGCACCTACATCCTCATTGACATGGTCCTGAACCGCATGGCCAAAGGTAAGGCCCCTACCCATGGTGCGCCTACAGCCCCTGGGTCCTTGCTAGAGTCTCCCCAGCAGCCAGGGGCCAAGAGCTCCAAGGAGCAGGCTGCCACACCTCCAGGCCTTGCCCAGTCTCCAAGCTGCACGCCCCAGGTGGCGCCAAGCTTTCTGGGTGCTGTCTTCCTGAACATCCCACATCCCAACCCCCTCCAGGAGTGAAGGAGATTGACATTGCTGCTACCCTGGAGCATGTCCGTGACCAGCGTCCTGGCCTCGTCCGCTCTAAGGTGACCATACTTCCCTGTCCCAGCCCTACTATCACCCCTCCCTAGCACCCACTTCTTAGCCACACCAGGAAACCCCCAGCAGGTGGCCCTTCCCATCTCCCTCCCTGCTTTCTTGAGGGGGACACCCCTCCTCAAAAAGGACTTGCCCAGCACTCTGACCCCTGGCAGGTCCCCTATGGCAGGAGCTGAGGCCAGGCCTATCCATAACCCTCCTGCTACTTCCCTTCCCCAGGACCAGTTTGAATTTGCCCTGACAGCAGTGGCCGAGGAGGTCAATGCCATCCTCAAAGCCCTGCCCCAGTGAGTTCTCAAGCCCCACAGTGGGCAGCCCAGCCTCTGTTCCCGCTGCCTGTGTGAGCATCTCTATGCGCCCACTCCTCCACCCTTGCCTGCCACTTTGGCCACCCCTTGGGCATGCCCAGCCCTTCCAAGAGGAGTGTAAGGAACTGGAGAGCAGAAAGCATAGGCTGAACCAGCCTCACATATGCCGGAGCCCAGGCAGCCCATGGCAAGAGGATGGGCAGCAAGTCTGCCCAGAGCCTTCTCCTCCCTGGCTCCCAGGCTCCTTTCCGTGGTTCCAGACACTCCTCCTCGTGCCCCTCCTCCAGCCTGCTGTGTGGACAGGCACTGTGGGGGCACCAACTCCCCCAGCCCTGCTGCTGCTGGGCTGCCACCTCACTCCCCAGGCTTTCTCCTGCGTCGTGCCACTTAACCTCTCTCCCCTGGCACAAAAGAACATTTCTAGAAAAATCTACTTTTGTATCAATGTGAATAAAGTTAGTGTGTCGTCTGTGCAGCTGCAACCCGCACTCCTATGCTCTTCTGTCTGCTCTTCTCCCAGCCATAGCTGCTGCAGCAGCCTGGGTCTGTGTTGCCCTGTGGTACCCCTGAATCCAAAGAGCCCTGGCAGATGGGGCACAGGGCCTGCAGCTGCCTCCCTCAGGTTGAATAGCAGTGTGTAACAGTGAGGTGCACATTTTGTACACTGTGCCACAGGTAGCCCAATGTGCCTTATGTAATCCTCACAAAGCCACTGGCAATGATTAACCCCATTTTACAATGAAGAGACCTCAATGGATTTGAACTCAGGCAGCTAGACCTCTACCAGCTCTCCTGTCAGTTCTCAGTGGCTGCTTTACCCCCTTCAGCCTCAAGAGTAACCTTCATATCATGCAGGGTGGAGGATGGGGTCCCTGGAGGTGCCAGCCATGCCTCAGGTGACACTACAGCAAAGTCCAGTGATTCCAGGCAGATGCTGCCTGGACACTTTCTCCCTGTCTGTTCCTCCATCCCCAGAGTTCTTCCTTCCAGCAGCCCTCATCTGCTGGTATAATGAGGTGTGTCCTAGGACAAAGGTGGAGGCCACAGAAGCAAAGCTAGTAGAGCCTTGGGCCTTGGCTACTTGGAGTTAGGGGTCATTTACCCCTATACTTGCTAGGCTCAGCCTCAAATGAAAAATAAGGCGACTACCATCTGTGGGAGTGGGGCACAGAGCAACTGACCCGGCTCCCCCAGGCCTCCAGATATGCACTGCTGGGACTCAGGTCTTGCATGCAGAAAATTCCAGAGGTTACCAGTGGGGAAAACAGCTTTTCCACAAACTTCTAGCAGTCAGTCTGTCTCTCAGTCTCAGCCTTTGTCTCTGTCTCTCTGTCTCTTTTCCTTCCTCCCTCTCCCTCTCCCTCTCTCCCTCTCCCTTTCCCTCTCCCTCTCCCTCTGTCTGTATGGGAGCTTGAAATTCCTTTCAGGGCAGGCTGCTTCTTTGTATTGTAGAGTTGGCCATGGCAGCACAAAGTCTGTGATCCGGGCACCCTGGAAGGCTGAGCCAGGAGGATCACAAGCCTGAGCTCAGCCTAGGCAATTTAGTCCCTGCCTCAGAAGTTAAAAAATTTTAAAGGGATAACTCAATGTGAAGGTCCTAGATTCATTTTCCAGTTCAAAACAAAACAAAACAGCCACTGCAGGCCAGATGTGGTGGAACACACCTGCAATCCTAGCACTTGGGAGACTGAGGCAAGATTGCAGTGAGTTCAAGGCCAGCCTGGCCTACAAAATGAGTTCAAATCCAATCTGCAATACACAACAAAGGCCAGGAGAAAGCTTAGTTGCATAAGTGCTTGCCTGGCAGATGCAAGGTCCTGGGCTTGATCTCCAGTACCACAAAAAAAAAAAAAAAAAAAAAAAAAAAAAAAAAAAAAAAAAAAAAGAAAGAAAGAAAAGAAAAGGAAAGGAAAGAAAGAAAGAAAGAAAGAAAGAAAGAAAGAAAGAAGAAAAGAAATATACAATAAGACCCTGTCTCAAAAAAACAAATCATTGCAGGCCCTTTGGTTACTAAAGGTGAGGCCAAGAGCCAGTCCCAGAATTGGCGGATGGCAGGCCACAGCATCCTGCAGGGCAATGCAAAGGTACTTCTCCATGACTGTAAATATAGGGTGGGCGTGGGGGGTGGGTTATCCTGGCTGTTTCCTCCCTGGGCCCTGATGAGCTTGGGGCTTGTGCCCAGGGCAGGGTTTACTTGTGTTATCCCTTGTGCCCCTGACACCCACTTCTGGCTGCAAGCTGAGAGGCTTAGTCTAGGAGTCTTAGGGTTACAGGGTTTCACCCTTTCTTGGTTTTCTGTGGTTCCCACACAATCATCTTACCTCAGTCTGGCCCTACTGTGCTGTGAAGTGTCAGGAGGAGAGAGCCTGAAGGGCCTTAGGGAATGTAGGCTGCCGGGAAAGGCAGTGATGAGCCTCCCAGAGGTGAGGCCAAGAACGTAAGCACCTCTTGGGGTTCTTCAACATAACAGGAGAATAAGCTGGTGAAAGGGCAGACTTCTGCTGCCTGGTGACAGCTGCTTGGACATAAAGGGAGGTGTGAGGCCTGACATGTCACCCACTGGCCCTACAGGGTCCCTCCTGAGCTACCCTGAAAAGAGGAAGACAGTGTACCACTGAGTGCTCCAAACTCAGTTTTATTGAATTCCAGTTTCCCTCTTGGTCTGAGCCCAGCCTGGCTGACTTTGATAGGTCTGTGGGGCTCAGTGTTTCAGGGGCTGGAAACACCCTCCTCCATCAGTCCCTTCCCAGCCTTAGGCTCCCTAGGTAGGGAGGAGGAGAGGCAGCTGCCTGTGATGTTGGAGAGAAAGAGTAGGCAGCAGGGTCAGAGTCCAAAGAAAGCCATTCAAGCAGCAGCATGCCCTGTGTTCCCAGCACACACCAATGCCAGCCATATGCCTCTGTGAGGGTGGCTTTCCCTTCCAAGCTCCCTCAGCCTTCCAGGGCCATGCCCTGCCTACTTTGCCTGCTAGCCTACAGGAAAAGAATTTCTCCCAGTTGCTGTAAGGTCTTGACCTGCCCACTCCAATCCTGGAGCTAGCAAGAAGTGTCAGGGGAACCCAGGTTCAGATCATTCTCCCTTCATCCACATCCTTGCCACCGCACCAGGGACAAACCAAAAGACAAGATCTCCCCATCAAGAACAAGCAAAAGGCCTGGCAGGGTTAAAACTACATATCCCAAGAAGCACAGCTCCATAACCAGGCACCAATTCTCCTGGGTGTAACCTATCAGAAATTCGGCTGGGTGCATTGCATTGTGGGATTTGTAGTCCACAAGACACCCCCCCACACACACCCAGGGAAAAGTACACAGGCTAAGACTACTGATGTCCCCCACCCACTGCCCAGGCCCCAGCTCTACACTCAGCATGGGTGAGGGAGGAATGGGGTGTCCCTTCCCATCACATGGGTGAGGGTGCTGTCCTGTTGGAATTGTGAAGCCACTCTGCATCCTGGACATCCAGCTCAGAATACATCTGGGGAGAGAGCAGGGGTGGGTGACAGGAGAGAGGGTCAGCAGCAAGCCATGGAGAATGGAGCCAAGCATGCACACCTGGGCTGGCTGCGGGGCTGTTCCCTGAACCCTGATGCATGGTGGGGGAAGTAGTATGAGATATAGTCCCCAATGAGGCCTCCCCCTGGGTCACCCTAGCCCTAGCCCCCCTCTCCGGGGTTAGCCAGCCTCACCTCTGCCTAGTCCCGCAGCTGGGGCAGGCTGAGGCAGCAAGAGGAAGGGAGGAAGAGTAGATCCGGCTCCGAATCTGGATGGCTGAGAGGCTCCCGCCCCACCCAGCTAGCCTCCCCAGAAGACCTCATGGCCCCACCGGCCCCAGCATCTTCCTGGGCACAATGAGGCTTCTCGGGGAGAGAAGGAGAAGGGAGTCCTAGCCAGGTGGCAGTGAAAGCAAGCGATGCAGCCCGCAGAGAGCTGCAGAAAGCAGAGTGGGAGGAAGGAGAGCAGCACCAGAAGGGAAGCACAGACAGTCAGAGCTCAACACTGCACAGAAACCAGGGCTCTGCAGCTGGACACGGAGTGCAGAGACTCCCCTCAGCCTGCATCACTTCCTAGAGGAGCTGCCAACTCGGGCTCACAGCACTGGACCCCAGGCCAAGTCCTCCTTCCTTGACACCCTTGGCAACACGGGTGGCAGAGAATCTGAGCACAAAAGGCTCAACCCAATCCATTAATGCCCCTCAGAAACTCCCACTTCACAGAGCACATTCAGCTCCCTCAGGCCCTTCCGTTCCCCCAACATCCCACCCCCCTCAGGGACCTATCAGCTTCCCCCAGGGACCTATCAGCTCTGGCTGAGCACAGTAAATCCAAAGTCCACACTGGAATACAGCGGGCCCAAGAGGGAAACTTGTAGGGGGACGTAGAGTTCAGGCTCCCACAACTCGGGCCACACTCTGCTCTGACAGTGAGTCGGACGCTGAGTCAAGACCTGAATCAGGTCAGGCTGGGCCTGGCATTCAGAGGATGAGGCAGCGAGAAGCCTTCTCCTCTGGGGATGGGCTGGGTTTTGTTGCCTCACTCCGGGCCCCCTCGTGGGTTCCCCCTGGACCTTGGTGCTGGGACTTGGGCCGTCCCTGCCATTGCTGCTGTACCCCCCGCCCACCTGCCGGCTTCTGCCCAGCCGCTTCCATCTCTGATAGGCTGTAGGCCATGGCAAGCTGGAGGTCTTCGTCCTCCTCAGAGAGGTCGCTGTCAGAGGGGCGTTGGGCAGTAGTCTGCCGAATCTGTGCACCACCCGACCTAGAGGTGACTGACTGTTGCTGCTCACGACGGCTCAGCTCCAAGCCCAGTGCCAGGTCATCTGGGACACCTGCAAGAACCACAGCTACCATGAGGCCCCAGGTCCAGGCCATGGCATCTTCCAGGCCACCGCACACAATAACAACCTTAACCACTTACAGCCTCTCTTTGGAACTGGGACACAGGCATGAGGTCCCAGGATACTGGTTAGGTGCCTGGGAAGGTATTCAGCTCCAGGAAGTACTGTTATTTCTTTGTGAATGAGTTATTTAACCTTCCTTTGCCTCCTTTTCCTCATCTATGAAACAGGAATGACGGTGCCTACACACATGAATCTTCTCATTGGTTAAATATGTCGGTCCATATAAAGTGGGCTGACACACAGTACCTCAGCATCAGCAGCTAAACAAGATTAGCTGAAATGACACTCATGGGGCAGGGGGTGGGGGTGCGGTGGGAAGAGTTCTGGTCTGTGAATCCTGCACCCTGAGTTGGATTCCTGGATTGCTTTACCCCAAGTTGATGGGAAGGAATCTTCTTATTTTACTTTTTTTTTAAATGAATTTGGGTCATAGGGTCTATAGGGTCTCACTACATAGATCAGATTTGTAGTGATTCTCCTGTTTTCAGCCTCCCAACCACTAGGATTACAGGTGCCTGCCACAATGTCCAATCTCAATCGTGGTCTCAGTGCACCCCAGGGGTGAGGCCAGCACGGCATGCTGGGGATTGAACCCCAGCCCCTGTGCTCTGCCGAAGCAGGTGCTTTAGTCCACTGAGTTATCTGGCTGGCCTAATGGGAAGGAATCTTGAACCAGGGGCTACTTGGATGTCAAAGTCATTTTATCAAGCTGTGACTCAGTCGCTTGAAATAAAAATGGGGCAAGTACCATCCACCTCCATATTCCCCTAGGTGCTTTAAGAACACAAGGGATACTATGTATGTGCAAGAGCTTGATAAAACCAAAGGCACAGTGAAGTGCTCTGCAAATGTAAGACACCCCCATCCACAGTGGCAGTGACCGGGCAGCTCTCTGAGACCCCTCCGCCCACTTTCCCCCATGGTCACCTCAAATTCTGCCAGTCTGGTGGCTGCCATTCCCTAGGGCCCACCCCTGAGGGAGTTCAGACAGAAGTAGGGAAGGGGCCCCGGGGCTGGAGCTCCACACCACAGATTGGATAGTGGAGCCCTGCTCACCATTCATCAATGCTCACCATTGATTGAAACTGACTTCAGCTGCCCATCCTCCTCCACTTCCACTCGCTCCTGCCCATTCTCCATGATTCTGTAGGAGACAGCACAGTTAGTCAGTGAGCAGTGGCCCATCCAGGCTCTGGCCACTGCAGAGCAGATTTTATATCTGAACATGACACCCGCCTCCGCCCCTCATCTCTAGTCCTCTCACCTATATAGCCCTAGGAGGCCGTACCTGCGTGTTGTGATGCGACGACCCTGGACAAAAGTGGTGGACGTTGAAACAGAGCGGAAAGCACCAGCCCCAGGACTGAAGGAGAAAGACGAGGAGGAGAAATCTGGCATTGGGACAAAGGAGGTGGAGGAGAAACTATTACAGGGAGGCTCTGTGCTGCCTGCTGGGCACCAGAGGAGCCGCAGGGTCCCCCAGAGGTGCCTAGAGGGAAGGTTCCATGCGGAGGACACAGGAAAAAGCTGCCACTAGGGCTTCAGGACTCAGAGCTAGCAAAAATGGGAATGGACAGTGCTTACCAGAGTGCCCAGGAAAGGAAGAGGAGAAGGTAAAGAAGGGGCCTGAGTGTCGGGAACCCCGGTTCTGAAGCTCCGAGAAGGGGCCCAGGTCATCTGCAGCAAGTAAGCAGATTCATGATCATCAGTGAAAATACCCCCTCCCCGTGTGAACTTTCAAGTCTAGAAATATATAATAATATATATTTAATATATCTAGAAATAATAATATATCTAGAAATATTTTGCTGAGCAAACGGGTACATTTGTGTTTCCGTTGTTACTGTTGGCCTCCACAAATTAAATTCCTTTTCAACATGTGAAAATACTCACTGGTTAATTCCGCCCACCATAAGGAACAAAAGGAGAGACAGACAGAAGGACAGACGGATGCCCTGCCCTTTTGAGACAGGTCTTGCTATGCTGCTCAGGCTGGCCTTGAGCTCACTTTGTAGCCCAGCTTGGTCTCAAATTTGCCACAATACTCCTGCCTCAGTCTCCCAAGTTTGGGATTACAGGCATGTGCCACCATGCCCGGCAGAGAGAATGATGTAAAGACAAGCAGGAAAAGCAAGCAGCACTGCCTCTGTCATTTGCTCCATGACTCTAAGTAATTTAACTGTGCCTCAGCTTATTCATCTGTAAGTGGGGGTTAAAATTAGCCTCTTCTCAGGGTTCACAAGAAGATGAGGGAGAGTCAGATACTTGACAGAGAAGGATCCGAAAGCCTGGCATATGTTGTTACATGTGCCACTGCCGCTCTTGTCACATGGTGCTTTGAGTCTTGCTCTCATGGCTGTTTTTGTGGAGCTCTATAACAATGTAGTATTGTTGTTGTCACTTAACAAGGCCAGCCTGTAAAGTGACACTGGCCGGTCATGTGTGAGGTTCTGTCCCGGCTCTCACTGTACCCATACACGCCACCCAAAATCTTCGGCCTGTGGATTCTGCTCTCTTCTTAGCCTCCTGCCTAAGGGAAGGCCAGGCCCAGAGGGGTTAGCTGAGTCACTCCGAGCCTCGGAGTCCACTCACCAAAGAGCTCTGCAAAAGGGTCTCCACTCCCGAAGAACTCCCGGAAGACTTCCTCAGGGCTGCGGAAGCTGAAAGTGAAGCCAGGCCCACCAGTACCAGCACCAGCTTCTGCCCGACAGGGGCCAGCTCCTGGAGCAGATGCAGGATGGAAGACCCTGGGATGTCTACTTTGCCTTGAGCCTGGGGGTACACTTATGGCACTGCCAGGAGCCTCCCAGAAAGCAGCCAGGACAAGGACCTGCCTTCCCGACTCTGCCCTGACCCACTTCCACCCCAGAGCCCTGCTGCCCCACCTACCTGCCCCAGTCAGCCCTTCGCGGCCATAGCGGTCATAGATCTCCCGCTTATGCTCTGGAAAGAGAGATCCAATCATTTCTCCCTCTCTCTGGGCCACGGGTGTCCCCTCTCAGGCTAGGCCAACCCTCAGAGGAGACCTAGAGCCTCACATTTGGGGGACAGTGGGTGTTCAGGGTACATTGGCTGCAAGTTTTAGCAATTACTACATACTTCACATGGCTGGCTTTTCCTCATCTGTAAAATGGACATAACAGCAGTATTCCTCATCGGAATACTTCGAGGATTAAGTGAAATAATACACATAAACTGCTGAGCATACAGATGGCACATGGTGTCTGTAAACATGAGCTAGGGGGTGTATTTACTTGCTTTACATGCACAAGGACCTGAGTTCAATCCACAAATAAATAAGTGAATTATGTTAGCTAGTTGTGACCTGCTATTATTAATTAGGGCTTGTCTACATGTTACTTCCTCAGAGGAACTCTTTGTGACCACCAAAACAAAATCAGGTGCCTAGTATTCCCTATCACATCCCCTGCTACTCTCCTGTGGGATGCTTATCACCCACGGGACAAGGAACAAGGTCTGCTTGTCCTCCATGGCTTCCCCAGTACCTAACAGGTACCTATAACCACTATTACCACTCAGTGGATACTTCCTGAATGAAGTAATGATGAATGTATGTAGAAAAGACAGACCTGGGGCAGAGGTGGCAACCCAGTGGTAAAGCATCTGCCTAACTTCTGCGAGGCCCTATGCCCAATGCCCAGTACCACAAATCAAACCAAAAAAAAAAAAAAAAAAGACACACTTGGATTCATCTTCCAGCTGTGTATAGTCTTTCAGCCTCAGTTTTCTTGCCTGTACAATGGGAGTGATCAACACTTGCCTCACACGATGGCTTCCAGGAAATTACTGAAGCCTGGTACAGAGGGGGGTCAGTACACACTTGTTCCTGCCCTGCTCCCCTCCCTACTCTCCAGACCCTGGGAACAGTCACAGCCCTGTTCTGGTGGAAAAGAACATTTAAATGCCATGCTGGGGGCTGGAGAGATGGCTCAGTGGTCTAAAGCACCTACTTAGAACAAGCTTGGCAAAGCATCAGGGACCGGGGTTCAATCCCCCAGCACCACATGCCAGCCAGCCCCGCCCCCTGGTGGGCTGAGCTGGCCACACACACACACCACACTCTCTCTCTCTCTCAAATAAATAAAAAAAAAAAATTAAAAAAAAAATGCCATGCTGAAAAAAAGGTGTGGGGACGGTGGTGGAGGCGTGGCTTTGGGAAAGAGTGAGATAGGCATACATGCGGGAGAGGTGCTGAGCCTGCCCAGATCCCAGGCCTTACTGTCAGACAGCACTTCATAAGCCTCTGCCACCTCCTTAAATTTCCTCTCAGCAAACTCTTTGTTATCGGGGTTCTTGTCTGGGTGCCATTGTAGCGCTTTTCGCCGGTACCTGCAGAAGCGAGTGCAGAGGGAGTCAGGGGACAAATGCCTTCTCTTCTCACTAGGAAACTCAACCACCCATTCCCCCTTCGTCTTTCATCACTGTTCTTTCGCAGGTGGACCTAGCCCACCCAGCTCCTGGGGGCTGCTCTGAAGCCATCTTTTCGTGAGACTTCTCTCTCTTTCACGGGGGTTAGGACTAACATAGGAGGCCATGGTGACCCCAGGGCAAGAACACTCCCATCCTGGCCACATGTAGCCACGGAGGATAGAGGGACATGGGTCTCCTCCTTCAAGGTCTAGGCACCTCTGTGTTGCATGCTGAGGAAACCTGCGGGGGCGAAAAGGGGGCGCTGGAGGGGTCAAGGACCTGCAGGGTAGCTCCCAGCACTGCCTCTTCCCTCTGGACTTGCTCCTTCTACCCTTCCAGTGTTTCTTTTCTCCCTGCAGGTATCACTCGGAAAAGCCTCTGGTGGGGCAGAGGGTGACAGGTTTCCTGGCGACACTTACGCCTTCTTGATGTCATCAGCAGACGCACTCGGCGGCACGTCTAGAATCTCGTAGTAGGATGCCATGGCAATCGTCAAGCGGGCCTCCTCGGGGCTACAGGACAGAAGCAGTCAGGGACCCGAGAACCAGCAGCCCCTCCTGGCGGCTGGAGACCCCTGGGGGACGGGAGGCGCTCCCGGAGGAAGCGAGCCCCGGGTGGCCCTCGCAGCCGGTGACTGGGCTTCCTCCGCAGCCTTATCTTCCCTGGCAGGCCGGGGCCCTGGGCTATCTCGGCGCACAGGCCTGGGAAGCCGGATCGGAACCCCTTGACTCCAGCTGCCTAACCCAGGGCCCCCGGCCGTACTCCGGCCGGGCCGCACCTCCTCCGCCCGAAGTCCCGCCCCTGCCCCCCGCCGGGAACCGTCTGGCACCGCAGCCCCGGCTCGCGGCTGCTGCGTAGGACGCGCCCGGCCCAGCTGTGCGCGCAGGCGTGCGTCAGGCGCACGGAAACTACTAGAGACCCGGAGAAGGCCGGCTCCGCCCGGCACCCCAAGGGGGAGGGGGACAGCAGGGGCTGCTGGGAGATGGAGGCGGGGCTGGCTATTTTGGGCCAGCACCCCGGCGACGTCACCCCAGGTGGCACCTGCGAGACCGCGGCCCGCTGCATGCGTCCAGGCCCAGGCGTGACGCACTAGCGCAAACAAGATGCAGAGGGACTGGGCCTTCTGTCGCTCTCAATCAATCTGACTCACGGACCTCACCCGGAGGGACTCACAGCCACCTCAAGGACTCCCCGGCTCCTCTCTGGGTCGAACTCCTCCCATCTTCAGATCCCTCCTGCAGCCCCTGGTCCTCAAAAGAGGCTGCCCTAGCTTCGCTGAGTAGGTCACGCTTGCCTTTTATAGAATCTCGAAGCCTTCCTTCCTCACGCTTGTCACAGCTGCAAATTAGCATCGGTTGGTCTGCTTATTTGATTACTATTCTCCTCCCCCACTAAACTGTAAATCCCTTTTTTCGGTAGTATATATAGGGCAGCAGATATGCAAACCTCTTGGTGGCAGTTTTGACACAGTGGGAGAAGTGGAGTTAAAGAGGACAGTAAAAGGAAATTCCCTGGATTCAAAGCTTTTCTTCCCAAGCCGATCCTGAGCTGCCCCATTCCACCTCAGAATGCTTCTGAGTTCAGACCTCCTAAGAGAGAGATTCACTTAGTACCATCCTGCCAATACACAAGTATTAGTTGAGTATTGTCTACATTACATGCTGCCAAGATATATAAAGAAGAATGTGGGGCTGGGGGATACAGGCCAGTCCTTGCCTAGCACAGGGTTCTGGGTTCAATCTCCAGCACCACAAGAAATGAAAAACAATAAAAGAAGAATCTTAATCCTTGACTTATGTGAACTGGAACTTGAAAAGATAGGTGTGCCTCTGTGTAGCTCCCCTGGGAAACCTTCAATATTACCCCTTTGGAAATCCATCTGGGTTTGCATCCTGGCCTTACTGGGTGACTTAGGGAAACTTTTGAAGAATTGGCTTCTTATCCCTAAATACTAGATAAACAATGCTGATGGTTGTTTGAAAGTTATAGGAGGCAGGGTATGTAACCGGAGGTATTGGCATAAATCTCTCTCGCATCCACATTTGACCCAAGGAGCAATGGTTATGTGAGTCTAGGATAGTAGACCCAGAAACCCTTCATCAAAGACAAGGGCTGGAGTGGGCAAGTGTGCAGAAGGCGGTGTGCTTTGTCAGCTTTCCTGGCTGTGCACCCTCTGAACCTCCTGCCTTTGTTTGGAGAATTCCCCCCTACATTTGGGAAATGTACATCCAATGGGCTCTGTCGGGAGGTGAGCCATCTGCGCAAAGCCTTAATACTTATGGTTGACAGTCTCCAAGGTTTCTAAGAGTGCAAGTAAAAGATAAGCCCTGGTGCAGCAGCTGGAACTGAATCTGGGGCAAGTCACACTGAGAAGATGTGGGCGCCTCACAATCCGTTTCTGAGGATGGTGATGACTGCCACGGGGACCTGCAGCGGACTCTAGTGTCTGAGGTGTGAAACGACAGCCTCTATGTCTGTACTGAGGGAGGGTGGTTACTGCAGGGGGTTCAGAGAACCAGAGTCTCCAGCATAGGCTGCCCTGTGCCCCAGCTTCACTGTCACGCTTCTTTTGTGTTTTCCTGTACCCTGAGCCTGCTTACTCACCTTTATATTGGTTCTGTGTGCCAGTCCATATCTTGCTAATTGAAGGATGGGGTGGTGTTTTTTGTTTTGTTTGCTTTTTAAATTTTGCCAGACTCCATTTCTGCTGTTTACAGTAAGAGTCTTGATGAACAGAATACTGAAGCTTAGGTTTGGTTTCAGGACAAAGAGTAGATTAGGTTAGGTTAGGTCACTCCCAAGTTGTCCAAGTCTGCCTGTTTCTTCTTATCTCAATAGATGTCTGTCTGGCACCACCTGTGTATTACATTAAGTGTAGGAAGACAAAGACATTTACGTTTCAATTAAGTTCTAATTGGTATTTTATTTCAAGGAAATAAAATCTACTTGAGACATAGATGAGTGACAACTGAGGGAAATCTTATGAAACAATCTAGAAGACAAAGAGTTAATTTTCTTAGTTCCCAAAGAAATTGAAAAAAAAAAAATTAAGGCAAGCAGTACAATTTTTCCAGTGCTGAGTATAGAACTCAGGGCCTTGAGAATCTTGGGCAAGCTACTGAGCTACACACCCTCAGCCTCCAGTGTAATTTTTTAAGTGGGCAATAAAATATGATGGGATATCACCACCCAAAGGAATGTGCTGATTGATGTAAACTATCTTTTATTTTTTTTTTTTTTTGTATTTTAGGGAGGGGTCTACAGGGTGTTCAGGGTCTCACCACTAGATTGGACTTATACTGATCCGTCTGTTTATAGCCTCCCAAGAGCTAGGATTACAGGCACACGCCACCACTAAACCATCTTTTAGATTGAAAGTTAATTGAACAAATGTGATGCAGAACAGAGTATATACTAAAAATATATGGACATACGTTAATATCTGTACATGTCTCTAGAAGAAAACACAAAGAAGTTAAAAGTGGTACCTGCCAAGAGGAGAACATGATGATTTATCTCTGCTGTTCATACGTTTTTGGGTACCTTTGGGATCTTGAGGCATGTGCAAATAACAGCTGTTCAAATACACATAAAAAAATGCTAAGGGCCTAGTTGGGAACTAGGACATTCCTCAGAAGCCATGTGCTGCTGTAGAAGGAGCCCCTGCCAAGTGCCAGATGAGTGACAGAGATAGATGGGGGCGGTGAAAGGAGGGATCCCTGCCACAGGGGCGATGGTCTCTGGAAGGCTGTGACCTAAGCTAGAAGGAATGGCAACACTAGGACAGCTGGAGCCAGCCAAGGCTTCTACCAGGAGGAAATGCTTTGGAGGCGGTCATACTCCTGACACAGCAGAGGAAAAGCCTGTTGGGTGGGATCCAAAGCTGGGAACCTGTCTCCCTGCCTGCAGGAGGTAATTGTACCCTGGCTTTAGACGCATCAGAGATGAAAGGATTGTCCTGCGTGGAGGAAGTCCCAATTGCCCCAGGAAGTCTGGGTTGCCACCTCCCCATACCTCCACCCAGTCTAACGCAGGCCTACAGATGCCTACCAGCAGGGGAGATCCTGTGGGGCCTGACTGGAGACGGAGACACAGCACCCAGGCTGAGCTGGCTGGAGCAGCAGATGGGAGCAGGACTGGCTGCCTCTCAGGGTGCCCTGCCCTCCTGGCAGAAGACAGTCCCACCTCTCTCTCTCATAGATGATGCCAGGAGAACCTTTCTAAAGGGCACTGATAGCCCCAAGATGTGTCCCCAAGAAGCCTGTGCCCCAGTTCAGTGCCAGAGATGGGGACGCTGCCCCCACCTTCATGCCCTTCACCACAAATGCCAAACAAGGATGGGTCAAATGTCCAGCCCTGGAGGTACCTGAGTCACCCTCTGCTTTCTTTGCCAGAAGAGGTGGTGTCTGGAGGAGCACCTGGAACCTCATGGGCAGGAGGGGGGGCCAAGAGAAGGAGAGCAAGGTGAATTTCAGCTTCACCCCAACCCCATTCCTCCAGGTTGGAGTCCAGCCCCTCCATTTACAAGTCCCATCACTTCTCCTCTGAGCCGGTCTCCACATCTATGGAATAGGCAATAATGGGATGAGTTCCTTCAACAAACACTTGAGTATTGAATGTATTAGGCAACATGCAAAGCACTGGGGCTAGGATCATGAGGAACAAGGCCTTGTTCCCAAGAAGTTCCCATTCCAGTGGGTACAATAACTGTGTATACCCCAAGAATAGACAAGATGAACCAGGTATGGTGTTGCACACCTATAACCAAGGCGCTCTGGGTCCTGAAGCAGGAGGACTGCGAGACTGAGCCCAGCCTGGGCAACTTAACAACAGCTATGGCCTTGTTTCAAAATTTTAAAAAAAGGCTCAGGATATAGTGGCACAGCACTTGCCTGGCAAGTGTGAGGTCCTGAGGTTCGTTTTCTTGTATCCCCTCAAGGGAGACTATATATATATCTATATCTATCTATATCTATATATATATATATATAATATATGTAATATATATTATATATATATTATAGGGGGAGGAGTTTGAAAGTTTAAAAAAAACTTCAAAAGGGTTGGGGTAATCAGAGTTTGAGGAAGAGAAGTCCCCGATCTCTCTCCTCTCTGTCTGTCGTGTCTGTCTGTCTGTTTCTCATATCAGACAGTGGTTGAGCCTTCTCCCTGGCTCTGATTATTGCCAAATGGTCCGCCCTTAAGTGGTCCCACCTGCTTCCTCAGGGTAGCCCCGCCATGCCCCCAGCTCCAAGTCTTAGTTCAGTGCAAGGTCCCCGGGTTCCCCAGTACTCAGAAGACATATATATTGATGCATGTCTGTAATCCCAGGTGCTTAGGAGTCCGAGGCAGGAAAATTACAAGATTGAGGCCCGCCTAGGCAATTTAGTGAGAGCTTATTTCAAAATCAAGAAAAAGGGCTGGAGATGTAGTGCATATGTAGTGCACTTGCCTAGCAGGTGCAAGAACATGGACTCAATCCCCAATATGATTTTTTTTTTAAAAAAAGGGAAAGTGGAGAGAAAAGATAAGAAGATAATAGGCACGCTTGGCCTCACACACAGTAGATGTTTGTTAAATAACAATTGCTTGGGGTTTTAAGGGATCCCAAGGTAATCCCTCTCCCCTTCCCAGGTGAGAAACCAGATGAAGGAAAGACACAAGAGTTGAACAAACAGGGATTTGAAACTCAGCCCAGGCTGGGGAGACAGCTCTATGATCTAAGTGCCTGCCTAGCAAGTGCAAGGACCTGGATTCAATCCCTGGTACCACATACTGTGCTGGCCAGTGAAACCGGGTGTGGTGGCACACACCTGTAATCCAAGTGCTGAGGAGGCTGAGACAGGAGGATCACTACAAGTCCAAGCTGCATAGTGAGACCCTGTACCAGATAGATAGATAGATAGATAGATAGATAGATAGATAGATAGATAGATAGATTGATGATAGATAGATAGATAGAT